TGCACCCACGTGTCATGTGTGTATACACATGTGAATATACATATACACAAGCATGCACACCACAAACATATATACATGTCAAAACACAAAATATATGTCCAGTATCATTCCTTTAATAGCACACAACTGTACAACTGTATTTCTTTAGTATAAACAGTATGGAAAAACTATCTCTTAATCCATGTTGTCTTGGCATAAGTACATATCACAGACTGGGTAATTTATAATAACAAGATGTACTTTTCACAGTTCTGGAGGATAAGAAGTGCAGAATCAAAGTGTAGGCCTTCTTACTGTGTCATCCTCTTGTGGAAGGTGAGGGTAGCAAGAGAGAGAGAAGGCCAGGTTCATCTTTCTTCACAGACCCATTCTTAAGATAACAAACCTATTCCCAAGGTAATAGCCTCAATCCATTCATGAGGACTGAGCCCTCATGACCTAGTCACCTCTTAAGTCTCTCTTCTCAGAAGGAGCTAGAGAGAGGGACACGGGCATTATCAGGGACGAAATGGGAAAAATGATGCGGTACTTTAACTGGGGAGAGAGAGGAAAGAGAGATAAATAATACTTAGATGGTATGAAAAACCAAAGGGAAGTAGATTATTTCATAAGCCTACTGAAAAGTACCCATATAAAATGTATGCAAGTGCAAGCGTAGAGCTGAAAGTACATAACAAAAATCCCCATGCCAGCCAAGGGAACCTGCCTTGGAACTGTTCGTCAGGGTTGTCCAAGAGACTCCCTAGATAACATAGGCTGGCCTCCCAGAATTTAAGGTAAGACCATATTGCTGACATACTTGGGACAGAGGACTTGGAGCAGTCAAGCTGGAACTGACCTGAAAGCCCCCGACCCCGGCCCGGAAGACTACCTCTCATGGTATCAGAAAATACTGTGCAAGCTGCCAAGGGAGAAACCAATCATTGATTCTACCCGACTACAAAACCTACGAACCACACGATGACTAGCCCAGAAAACTATCTCTGTTGGGGCAGTAGTGACACTTCTATCTTGGGGGTAATCAACAGCTATCTAATTGGACTTAAAGCCTGTTCAGTAGGCAGGAATCCATGCATTGCACTGTAAACATAGCTAAGTACACATGGTTGGAGAGGTCACGGACCCTAGAGAAGAACTCCATGAGATTTTTTCCCTTTGGGTTTTGTGGTACTTCCCAAATGAATTATCCTGTTCTTACCTAATTCCTCCAAATGGTCACTGTAATTCCCAATTGTCCCTGGTGAAACTTTGGCAGTTAGATTAGGATACAAGTTAATATACTAGAAGTTATTTTTTCTTATTTATTATTTTTTTGTCTTTTTGAGACAGGGTCTCCCTAAGGTCATCCATAAGGATGGTGTTCATGCAACTTTGTTTTACAGGACTTGGCCAAGACTCATCATCACTCATCAGGGCCAGAAAAAAAACCTGCTTCAGAGTGGAAAATACGAAGCAAATAAGTATACTGAGTATAAAACTAAGATTCCTGAAGTTTCGGAAAAAGAGTAATCTGAGCAAAGTCATCCAAAGAACACTGGCCCAAGAACACATTCTGGATTTGTACAGCCTCTGAAAATGGTTATGGGACAACCCCCCAACCTCCACCACCCCCGTGCCAACCCTTGGTTGATGGAATGATGTCCAGTCAATTCTGGAAAAAAAAAAAAAAAAGGTTCTGAGATGCTAGCTAGCTGCACATTCCTGGCACAGTTTGGTGTGCCCAACTTTTTGCAGTACTGAGGATTGAACTCAGGGCCTTGTGTATTTTAGGCAAATCCTCCACCACTGAGGAATATCTGCAACCCATTTTCATTTTTATCTTTGAGACAAGGTCTCCCTAAGTTGACCAAGTCGTCTTGAATTCAATATATATATAACCCAGGCAGGCCTTGAATTTGTGAGCCTCCTGCCTCAGTGTTACAATTACCTGGAATCACAGGCATGTGTCACCATGTCTGGGCAGCCCTTGACTCCTTAGAGGGACAAGTAGTGCTCAAATATCAGAGATTGAATATTTATGATGCTGTTAGACTTACTTACAAGATAATAAACAAGGGGCTGGAGGGATGACTCAGTGGTTAAGGGCTTGTACTACTTTTCCAGAGGACCTGAGTTTGATTCACAGCACCCCTTAACTCCAGCATTTCGTTCACGTGCACAAATCCATACACAGATATACACATAATTAAAAATAATAAAATATATTTTGAAAATACTAAACAAGTAGATAGGCCACAGGAACAAATATAGAAGTCCAAACAATAATCTCACCAAGGAAAATAAAAATCTAATAAAACATGCCAGGTGTGGTGGCACATGCCTTTAATCCCAGCACTCAAGAGGCAGAGGCAGGCAGATCTCTCTTGAGTTCAAGGCCAGCCTGGTCTGCATACCGAGTTCCAGGTCAGCTGGGGATACAGGGAGACCCTGTCTCAAAAAGATCGAAAAAGAGAAAAAAAAAATCTAATAAAACCCCAAAAGGTCCAGGGAGAGTTTATTCCAAGAGACAAAAGCAAAAACAAACAAAATATTGTTTATGAAGCCCAACCAAATTACCAAAGCTCAATTTAGCAAGAACTTATCTCCTAGTCTTGAGTGGAATGGTACCTTAAAAATACAAGATGTCAGTGGTTCCCACAATGACTAGAATGAGGGTTCCTGTCCAAGGCAGTGAGGGCTTCAGCTGAATCTCTGCAGACCCTTCATTTCTGGCAATGCCCTATAGCCAAAGACCATTAAGATTGCACCATGGGGGGGTGCTGGAGAGATGGTTCAACAGCTAAGAGCATGTAATGCTCTTCTAGAGGACCTGAGTTTGGTTCCCAGAACCTATATCAGACAGCTCACAACCACCTGCAATTCCAGCTTCAAGGATATCCAATGACCCAATGACTCTGGTGTATGCGTGCTACACACACACACACACACACACACACACACACACACCTAAAACTAAAGGATATCTTAAAAAACAACAAAAAAAGAATGTTACCATGAGATTTTGGAATAAGTAGTGAGAGGAAAAGGAAGGGCAGTTGAAAAAGAAGGAAAGAAAGAGAAAACGCACACGCACCCTGGGGACTCACATCTTAGCAACTGCATGTTCAAATGAACTTACAGCAGGATTTGAGGCTTTTTGATTTCATAGTAGACATCACAAAAGGAAGGATTTATTCTAGGTTGGATACTGTCAGAAGTAAGGAAAATTCTTTTTGGTTATCTTAATAATTGTTCTGTCCACTGGGGTGCAGCTTAGTTGGTAGAGTGCTTGTCTAGCAGTATGAAGCCCTGGGTTTGATCCCCAGCACCATGTAAACCAGGCCTGACAGCACATACATGTAATTCTAGCAATTGGGAGGTGGAGGCAAGAGTTCAATGTCGTCCTCAGTTATATACTGAGTTTGACACTAGCCTGAGATACAAGAGACATCCCCCCTCCAAAAAAAAAACAAAAAACACCTTTATCTACTACAAGATAGGAGAAATGAATCAGGACCAAAATTCTATCTATAAAACAGCAACAGTAACATTGTAGGAATTGGGTTCTATTTAGTAATTTTTGTGGTTTGTATAAAGTTTTTATTCTGTGTTCAGGTGTGGTTATCAAATGGTCCTTTTACCCACCAGTGTGCCTTTGCCTGAAAGTGGTGTTTTGTGAAATTGTGCTGAACTGGACACCACCACAGCCTCACTATTGGTGCCAGGCCAGCTCCTGGCAACACCAAGGGTATTGAAAGGAGAGTGCAAGCCAGCTCCCAGCTGCCAGCGGGAAGAAAAAAAAAGGCAGCAGACTGGGCAGCCCTCTAGGCAGAACATGAGCTCTCCCGTTGTTACCCAACATATTTGGGTATCTCTAATACCTTATAACTGCCCACTTCACTCTTTTACACTTCTACCTGTCCACTGCAAACATTTAAATTTGCACCCACCACTAAGCAGAAGAGAAGTGACTTGCCCAGATTTCGCAGGGAATTAGTGACAGGTTTGAAACTAGAGTTGACTCTGGTTTTCCATCCAGCAAAACCCCTTCCTAAACAGGGCAAACTGTTAAACCTCTGACTGTGTCAGCGTCTAAACTAGCACTAACACTTCTCTTGTCCAGTGTCTTATTTCTTCTTTGGAAATCCGTAGGTGTCTAGCCATGCTGTTCCAATCTGCCAAGCACGCTCCTGCCTGAGGGTCCTCTGTTTGTTTGAGACAGGTCAGGCATGGAACTCAGGATCTTCCTACCTGTAATCCAGGGCTGGGATTACAGGAGGGAGCCACACCTGGCTAGCTAGGGACTCCGTACGGGCCCTTCGCTCCCATTGACACACGTTTTCAGGATCATTTCATCAGGCCTTCCAACCTGGGCACCCTAGTTCCACTACCACTTTCTCTGGAGTCCTTTGGCCTCACTTAGTTCTTTTGAAAAAAATATTTTATTGTTACTATTACTATTTTTTTTTTGGTCTTTTTGAGACAGGGTCTCCCTGTAGCCCTGGAACTCACTGTGTAGACCAGGCTGGCCTTGAACTCACAGAGATCCGCCTGCCTCTGCCTCCCAAGTGTATTATTTTTACGTATGAGCGGTTTGCCTGAATGCAAATGCACCCTGTGCATGCAATGCACACAGAGGACAGAAGAGGGAGCCGGATCCCCTGGAACTGGCGTTACAGAAGGTTCTTAGCCATCATGTGGGTGCTGGGAACACAACCCAGGTCCTCTGGCAGAGCAGCAAAGGCTCTACTGAAGAGTTCTTTGGGCCTCTGTTCTTCTAGTTTGTCACGTGCCCTGGGCTCGGGTGGGGAAACCGTTCCCATGCCCTGCCCTCTCTGCACCTGCTTCCTTTCGCACAGGTGAAGCGCCCCGGCAGACACTAAGGTACCGGCTGCGGTCCTCGCTTTCCACGTCCACACTGGGCAAAGGTCCAGAGAGCCTTCCCCATCCCGCGGGCACCCGTCAACTGCGCATGTGCCAGCTCGCCCGGTTCCTGACCCCGTTCCCCCCGCTCCCCACCCCAGCCACGCCTGCGCAGCTGCCCGCGCCGGCTTCCGGGTGGATAGCAAGATGGGGCCAGGGGCCGACGGTGCGGAGTAGTGGCCGCGAGTGGGCGTGTGTTGCGGGAGGTCCGCCAGCCGCGGGGTACCTGGGAGCTGCGCGGTCGCGGACAGAGCCTGCGCCTGCAGCCCGTCTGGCCGCGGTGATGTCGGCCGAGGCCTCGGGCCCCGCGGCAGTCGCCGGGTCCCTGGACGCCGCCAAACCCTCGGGTCCGGAGCCTGGCTCGCCCACGTTCAGTCTGAAGCCCCTGACCCCGAACAGCAAGTACGTGAAGCTGAACGTGGGCGGCTCGCTGCACTACACCACGCTGCGCACTCTCACGGGCCAGGACACCAAGCTCAAGGCCATGTTCAGCGGCCGCTTGGAGGTGCTCACCGACGCCGGAGGTATGCGTGCCGCCGGTACACGCGCTGCGCTCCAAACCCCTCGGCCCCCGGGCGCTGCCGTAGCGATCCCCGGCCGGCCGGCTCTCTGCAGGCTGTCCTAGTCAAGGCCTCTCGAGCCCCCCTCTCGTCCCACGGCCGTTGTCAAGTCTTCCCTTGCCCCATCCTTCCGTTCTTCAAACTCTTCCCCAGTCCTTTGCTTCCAGCAGTAGCCAATAATTACAGAACCCTCTCAGGTGCTCCATTACCGATTCTCCCCTCCACCCCTCAGGTCTAAAAATCTGGGACCAGCCCTGCTGCAAGCAGCATCCCTCAGACAGCCTTTTGTTTCCCTTTCTGTCTTGAAACCGTTAACAGCCAGCCTGGAGATCTGGAAGATCATGTCTATCTCCAACACATGTCCCTGCACACTCTAGGAATCATAATGCAGACTGTAGGAGATGGCTGCTTAAATTTGCCAGGGACGCGAGTGCAGCTCTCCTTGGCAGGGGGATGTTAACCTCGGAGCGGAGCGTTGCTTTCAGTTTGGGACCCACGTGTTTTAGTAGAACCAGGGGAAGGGGTTAACAAGGGTTATGAAAGCAGGAACATAGGCATTTGAGAGGTGAAGTTCAGTCTTCAAACACTGGAGATGAAGGTGAAGAATTCACTTAATTGATCAGCATTTGTGCAGCGCCAGTTAGTGCTGGAGTGTTTTGGTAAAGAAATTAGACATACGAAGTTTCCTTTTTGGGCAGGGCAGGGTGTGGGGGGGGAGGTGGTGGTAACAGTGAGAATGACCTATATAAGCAAGTAGATGGCAAAATATATGTATGTTATGAAATCATAGTTCTTTGAATAATATCATTAGATCATTGTATTGAACTGAGCTGTTGGGGTGGACATTTTAATAAGTGAGATTGTTAGAATTAACAAGATTAAGAGATTTATTGATAAGGTAAATTGGTAATGGCACGACTGAGCTACATAGTGAGACCTTATCTCAGAACCAGCTTTCCCATGGTGAGAGCCTTCTGACTGTAGAGCAGATTTGGGAGGGGGTTATAGTTTTCTGTGGCAGGTGTGTGTATAAGCCTATGGGAGAACGCCCTGGGCATGTTTGAAAGAGATTTCTTGTATATGACAGAAGTTTGAGACAGATAAGTATTTGGGCTTTGTGTGTGTCGCTATGGAATTCTTTTTTCAAAATGTAGTAGCTCCGTCCCCACACCGAGCCACCTTTATCTTTTCCCACCCCATCAGGTTGGGTGCTGATTGACCGCAGTGGCCGCCACTTTGGTACAATTCTCAACTACCTGCGAGATGGGTCGGTGCCCCTGCCTGAGAGCACCCAAGAACTGGGGGAGCTACTAGGTGAAGCCCGCTACTACCTGGTACAGGGCCTGATTGAAGACTGTCAGCTGGCACTGCAGGTGAGGGTCCCTTCCCCACCTCCTGAGTCCCTGTGCTGAGAGAGCTGTCCAGTTGTTAGCAGTTAACAGAAGACAGAGATATATAGGCCTAGAGATCCTGGCTCAAACTAGACATAATGCCTGAGAATTTGTGGGTATAGTCCTCAGCAGCATCCCTGTTGCCTGAGGCAGAGTCCCTTTAACCACCTGATGTCAGGACTGTTGTCATGATTAGAAATTCCTGCTCTCTTCTGCCGTTCCTACCCAGTGAACCTAGCTTATGTACCACCTGAGTAATGTCATTAAACATAACCCGGGTCCGTTCTCTCTTGCTCTGAAGTCTTGAATAGCTCTCTATGCCTCTGAGGGGGAGGGGACCTCAAAAAATATATATATGTGTAAATTATTTTAAATTATATTTCTTTGTGTGTATGTATGAGTACACAGAGTTCATGTGGCGCTCAGTAAGAAGAAAAGTTGTGGGAGTCAGTTTTCTCCTTTTTACCACATGTGTAATGGAGCTCAGATCATCATGTTTAACCACTTGAGCCATCTCCCAAAAGTCTCGATTTAAGTTGGAATGTAATAATCTCTATAATCTGGCCCAGGCCTGGCAGGCAGCACTTTCCTGTGCCTCCCAACCCCACAGGACTTTTTAAATTTTATTTATTTATTTTTCTTGTCTTTTTGAGACAGGGTCTCCCTGTAGCCCTAGCTGTCCTGGAACTCACCATGTAGACCAGGCTGGCCTCAAACTCACAAAGATCCGCCTGCTTCTGCCTCCCAAGTGCTAGGATTAAAGGCATGCACCACCACACCTGGCAGGACTTTTTTTATTTTTAAATTCTTTTCAACAATGAAACTCTTCAAATTGAATGTCAGAGAAACAGAGCCATACTCCATAAATAGGGCTGGGGGCTTCCAGAGCCCATTCCATCTGCCCAACTCCACCTCTGTGGATCCTTTTGGGTTCTGAAGAGCACGATCAACACGCTTAGGATCCAGGTCATCTCTGCCATGTCTGACTGAGTGACCTTGAGCTAGTCAGTTCCTACCCTCCAGCATTCTGTCCTTATGTTCCAAAAGATAAATAAGAAAAATAAATACAATGTAGTAAATTTTATATAAATCCTTTTATTTTGTTCAGTTTTTTCTTTTGTGATAAAACAATGACAGAGGTGTGTGTGTGTGTGTGTGTGTGTGAGTGAGCGAGTGTGTGAATTTAATGGCAGTTGCAGATTAAAACGTTGACTGAACCACTTTCTTTTTTCTCAGGGAATGCTTATTGACTTTAAAATTTTTTATTATTGAGCTGGGCATGGTGGCGCACACCTTTAATCCTAGCACTCAGGAGGCAGAGGCAGGCCAATCTCTGTGAATTCAAGGCCAGACTGGTCTACATAGTGAATTCAGGCCAGCTGAGGCTACAGGGAGACCTTGTCTCAAAAAGACCAAAAAAATTTTTTTATTATGTATTTGTTGTGGGTATGGGTGCAGGTGTGAGTGTGCCATGGCAGGTGTGTGGAGGCCAGAGGACTCCCTCCTTCTCCAGTCCTTTACCTCTAGTAAGCCGATAATTATGGAACCTCCAGCTCTGCCAGGAGCTCCCCTTCTACCATGGGGTTTGAACTCAGGTTGTCAGGTTTGGCAGCAAGCTCCTTTACCCACTGGGCCATCTTACCAGCCCATGTATTAGCTCTTGAGATCCAAAGGTACAGAATTCTTCCTTTGGACATCTTTTGACTGTATCACATAGGAAAAAATTAGATTTTATGCTCATGTGTGTAACTCAGAGTGTTGTAAAAGGATGATTTTAGTGAAATGTTCTTAGATACATTGTTTTCCTATCTTATGATGTTTGAGACCCATTAAACTTATTTTATGACACATTAATAAGTTACCATTTTTTCAGTGTATTTTCTGGGGGGTGGCACATGCCATAGCACATGTTTAGAATCTAGAGGACAACTTTTGAGAGTCAGTTTTTTCACAATGTGGGAACTGGGAATCAAACTCAGGTTGTTGGGCTCAGCCGCAAGCACCTTTACCCTCTGAGCCATCTCACTAGTCCTGAACTAATCTCGGAACTTGATCTGTTCAATTATTTTATTTTATCTTATATTTTTTAGACCGGGTCTTACTGTGTAACCCAAGTTGACTTTGACCTTGAGATCATCCTGCTTCCAGCTTCCTGAGTGCTGGGATTCCAGGCGTGCACATCCAGCTCTGCTCTGTAATTTTAAGTTGAGCTACTGTTACTGCACACCCACTGTGTGTCAGGAGTGATTTTACAGCCTTTTGTCAGTACATAGTATACCCTTGGTTGACATAAGAAACATTAGAGATGCAGTCGGTCAATGAGCCAGTAAGTGGGAGAGCTCAGAGTCAGCTCCAGGTTATCTGACTCCCAAATGTGATGCTGCTTTTCCAGGTTCCAGCCACCTCCTCACCACCCCTTTCAAGTTTCTTGCCCATCTCCATCCCCCTCCAGCTCTGCGTGGTGGTTAGGGTATGCTACACATCTTTGGTATATTCCAATCTTTTTTAGTTTCATTTCCCCCTTCATTTCCAATCCCCTGCCTTCTCCCCACCCCGACTCCCACCCAGTTCTGATGTTTTATTACATATGCTTGGATTATATTTGTCCTCTTGAAAAATTAAAGCATATTTTGTATGTGTGTGCATTTGAGGTTCCCATAAATGGCACTGAGCTATAGTTTTTCACTCAACACTTTGTTCAGGAACTTGTCACACTGTGGTATGGACATCTACACAGAAATGCATGTTGTTTGCTTGCTGTATGTCTTTATACATTCTCCTGAGATTGGAGTCTTAATTGTCTTCCACTTCCTGTCCCCACAATGCCTCAGTGGGCGTTCTTGTACATGCCCCTTCTGGTCCTGTTCTTGTTTTGTTACTATAGCTTAGAGAATTGCTGGGTCATGGGACATATGCAGGCCAATTTTAGTAAAGATCATCAGATTGCTCTCTCAAATGGCTATAGTACTTTGTACTGGTGATAGGCAGTGTATAAGAAAACTCACTCCTGCAGCTTCTCAGTAGCACTCGTCACCCTCCATCTTTCTAATTTTACCATTCAGATGGGTGTGGAGTGATCTCATTTTACTTTGCATGCTTCTGATTACTAATAAGACCAAGCATCTTTTCATATACGAACTCACTGGCTTTTTTGGAGTTCCCTTCTGCAATTGCTTATTCATTATCGTTACCAAATTTTCTGCAGTTTCCTGTCTTCCTCTTGTTGCTTAACAGGAGATCCTTGAATATTTTATTTCCTAAGGAGAATTAAGCCCTATTACATAAGGGCAAATAAGCATGCTCTGAGGCATGTCCTGGATGTAAGTTAGTTTTTCTCCTAGATCTCAGTGCTGCTGTTCATCATCCTTGAATTCAGAGGATACTCAAATTGTCAGTCATGGTGGCATACAGGAGGCAGAGGCAGGAGGGTTATAAATGCAAGGCTAGCCAGGGTTACTTAGGGAGATCCTGTGTCAAAAAATTAAAAAACAACCTCAAATTATTTGCTGGACTTTGTGAGTCAGAGTCAGGATGTAGATAATTTGTGGTCAGTTTTAAACATTGCCAGTGCTTGTCTGTGTCTGGTGTGGAATAGAGATCCTTGATTTGCGGGGGAAGGCTTTTTGAGACAAGGTTTCTCTGTAGCCCCAGCTGGCCTGGACTTACTATGTAGACCAGATTGGCTTCGATTTCACAGAGATCTTCCTGCTTCTGACTCCCAAGTGCTGGGACTAAAGGCGTGTGCCGTCATGCTCACCCGAGATTCATTTTGTGTGTGGGTGTTTGCATGCTATGGCATAAGAGGTCCTTGATTTTTTTAAAATTATAAATAGCTGGGGCTGGAGAGATGGATCAGTGAGTGGTTAAGAACACTGGTTGTTCTTGCAGAAGACCCAGGCTCAAATCCCAGCACCCACAGGCAGCTAACAACTGTCCGTAATTCTAGTCCCAGGGGATCCGACAGCCTCTTCTGACCTCCGAGGGCATTGCACGACACGGGTGCACTTACGTACATGCAGGCAATACATGCATACACATAACATAAAAATAATAAAAAAAAATTGCTGGACATGGTGGCGCACGCCTTTAATCCCAGCACTTGGGAGGCAGAGGCAGGTGGATCTCTGTGAGTCTGAGGCCAGCCTGGTCCACATAATTTCCAGGACAGCTGAGGCTACAAGGAGACCCTGTCTCAAAAAGACCAAAAATTAATTAATTAATTATAAATAGCCATAACTTGTAGGAGTCAGTTCTGTCCTTTGAACATGTGGGTCCTGGGACTACCTAATAAGTTATCTTAAAGGTGCTTGATTTTTTTTTTTTCCCCTTTAGGGTCTCATTAGTAGCCCTGGGTGACCTGGAACTTGCTATATAGACCAGGATGGCCTCCAACTCAGAGAGATCTGCCTGCCTCTGCCTCCCACATACCAGGATTAAAGGTGTACATCACTGTGGGGACTCAGGTTTGCTTTGCTTAGCGGGGGGCCTGCTGGCTTCGGGGCAGAGGGCCTGATCGGCGACAGAGTCAAACTCTGGGACCTGTGTCTTCCCAACAGGACGATTTATTTTAGAATTCACATGGTTTTTATACATCCCAAGGAACTAGCAGTCACGTGGGATATGACAGTCACATACAAAGATTTAGGGTACAAAGAAACAGGACATTTAGTCTGTTAGTTGGTGCCAGGATTCTTAAACTTTTACTCAAGGTTATCAATGCCCATCCAGTAATTTATTGGCCACAATGTTTTCTTTCTTAAAAGCATGGTAAACTTTTAGCTTTTAGCTCAGGAGTAAACCTTTGACCTGGCCTAATCTCTTAGCCAGGGATAGCTGAGTTATTTGTTTAGGACAAGGAGATGAGCTAAGGGTTGTTGACCAAGACGCTTTCCCACAGAGCAGGGAGCCTGCACTTTTATGACCAGGCCGCCTCCTCCTGCCAGCCCAACAGTGTTCTGCAAGGCAGGGATTATCAGAGCCAC